GACATCCCATTAAAATCAGGGTGGCGGAGTGGAATACGCCGGAGTATGCCGGAGTAGGAAAAACAGAAATGGACTCGCTGGAGTCAGTGCATGACATTGGCACGTGGGTAAATTGCAAGATCTCCCCTTGATGGATGATGCATTGAGCTGTGCATATGACGCGGGCAATTGGAGAGCGCCTTGCACCTCCGATTGTGCAGCCATGTGTGACGAAACAGTGATGAGGGTGCTGTAACAATATTTTTAAGATGATATTGGTAATACTTTGTTCAATGAATTGATTTCGAGAATGATTCAAAGGAATTGCCTGACGCTTGTGTCATTCATGAATGAAATCCGGTGACATATCACAGCACAAGTCCGCGGAGCGCCAAATTTGTTTGCCTGCTCCTTCATCAAACACACCAAAATCACGTGACACCACCTGTGCTGCTTTTAGCTTGTCTAAAACATAGTCTTCTTTTTGTCACCGAGATGCACCAACTGCTAACGGGCAGTGAGGCCTAGCACATCTACCAAATTCACAAAAACGCTGAACTAGACCATTGCCCTGGCATGAAAATGACAACGCACCCGTTTTTACACCGAGACCGGAACACTCACCGTTACCTAACTGTCAAATGAGTCGTAAGCGAGCATAACCTCAACTGTAACATCAGTGCGCTCACCGACTATAATGCAAAAGGTCGGCACCAATGGTGCTAAATTGCTCACCATTGCTACCGTGCCGCCACTGGCATGTATCAACAATGTCTAGCATTGGATTGACAAATGCTCTTATTATATACCGTTACGGATCATATGCATCATATTAATATTTGTGATCAACTAGAAGGCGCATATCAGATAATCTCACCTCATATACACAAAGCCATGAAACTACGATATTATCAAGTCACATGCTAAATCTGAAGTGAAGTTGCATAAAGGCTGTTAATGCCTTCTTTTAATTAATGACTAGAGACAAGAAAGGCAAAGTTGGAATTAAAATGAATATTTTTATTGGAGATTGCCCCACTGAATTTGCTTTGCGACAAGAAAATGCAGTCTCCTGCCAGACGGGGAAAAAAAGTACTTGATTTTCATTGGTACATGATTAAAAGGTTTATTTTTCAACAAAGGAAGAAAAATTACATCGATTTCCTACAGTTTAATCACTTGCAACCAATGTACATGTGTGAATTAATTAAATCCAAAGGATTCTTTTTTTCAGTGGATGCGCAAGGTGAATTTGAGAAATAATTTCTCTTTGTTCATTATTAAGCCAAATGTCTTGTCTCTTTTGTGTTCGTAATTTCTCTTTCACCTCGCATAGATATATTCATAAATATATTTTATCCAAATCCTTGATTATTCAATAGAATTTTTTGTGGGGTACTTAAATTCGAATATTTGAAATAGCAGGAGCCCTACATTCAACTCACCCATTATATTGTCATATTTTTATCGTTCAAGAAAGCTTTTGCTTCTGGTCCCTGAGATTAACCTGTAAAGAATTGTTCCACAAAGAAAAAAAACGTCATTTTGAGCCTTGCCATGGTCGTTATCCCCTGCATATATTAGCATTCCGTTCAAAGCACTATTATGCAAATGTGCTACTTCACACAGTTGCAAGCATGGCCGAAGACACCAAAGACTCTTTTTCAAGACTGCCCTCCAGCCAGATTCCATTCACATTTGGAAAAGTAATTCCCGATAGCGGTCATAAAATGAACCGGTTTTGGTGGTTTTCTGTAAAACATTTGTGATGTTGTTAGTTAATGATACTTAACACTCACTGCATTTCATAATAATGATACACTCATATGATCCTTTATAATATACTGTACCATGTTCATGGAGAGTATTGCTAAAATTCTGCACATGCACATGGACCCTAGGATTAAAAACTAAATTCAGAACTTTTTTTTTGTGTTTGCAGGTTGGAATAGGAACCAGGCTAGCCCACCAATAGCCAAAATTTGCATATAATTGAGGCACAATGAAATGCATTGATGAACAGAAAAAAAATGAACTCCCCAAATTCCACCCCCCCCCAAAAAAAACACTGATATATGAAAAAACAGGGGAGAAAATGGAGTGGGAGGGAACGGAACCCCCACCCCAAAAAATATTTTAAAATACTGAAGAAAAATGTGTGAAAATGTGATTCTGCAAGTGCTGAACTGCATGTATGTGGCGTCCTCTGTACATGGACATTCATTCATTCATTCATTTTCCGAACCGCTTGATCCTCACTAGGGTCGCGGGGGGTGCTGGAGCCTATCCCAGCCGTCTTCGGGCAGTAGGCGGGGGACACCCTGAATCGGTTGCCAGCCAATCGCAGGGCACACAGAGACGAACAACCATCCACGCTCACATTCACACCGAGGGACAATTTAGAGTGTTCAATCAGCCTACCATGCATGTTTTTGGAATGTGGGAGGAAACCGGGTACCCGGAGAAAACCCACGCAGGCCCGGGGAGAACATGCAAACTCCACACAGGGAGGCCGGAGCTGGATTCGAACCCGGTACCTCTGCACTGTGAAGTCGACGTGCTAACCACTGGACTACCGGGCCGCCCCTGTACATGGACATGGCATTGATAACATTTACGATGCCTTTACAATACAATACATCCATTTTCAACACCGCTTTTCCCTGAACAGGGTCACGGGTTGGGGGGGGATGCTCAAGCCTATCCTGGCTAACTTTGGGCGAAAGGCAGACTACACCCTGAAATGGTCGCCAGTCAATAACAGGGCACATACAGTGATAACTGTGAATGGGCACCGATTCCACGCTGCCCGCTCACAAGTCAGGTGAGTGTACCACTACACCATCGTCGACCAATACAATACATCATTAGAATCTGCACAGCATTGTTAAGTCATAGACAAATACTGTATAAATGGTGTTCTCGCAGCACTGAGGAGAGTTTTGGAATTAGCACGATTATGCGGGCGGCCCAGTGTTCCACTGGTTAGCACGTCCGCCTCACAGTGCAGAGGTACAGGGTTCGATTTCGGCTTCGGCCTTCCTGTGTTTGCATGTCCTCCCTGTTCCTCCGTGGGTTTTCTCCGGGTACTCTGGTTTACTCCCACATTCCAAAAACATGCCTGGCAAGTTAATGGAACACTAAATAATTCCCGGGCAGGAGTGTGAGTACGATATTGTCAAGAACATTTTTGAGTTGACTTCTCCTTTAAAAACAAAAACGCGATGTGCTAGAAAAAAAAAAAAAAGTAAAGTCATTTTTTTTAAATTGGTGTCAAAAATACATAAAGCCATCCATCTATGATTAAAACTTGCTGTTGAACAGTGTGGTTTTTTTTCCATCACAGTATGTAACTGAAAACAAGTATAAATAAACTCACTCCAAGTGGCATCATCATTATCGTGAGCACAACAATTTCATCTCCTTTAAAAATTCAAGTCCTTCATTTTTCTTTGTAACTATGCAGTAGATTAACTAAGACAAATCATGCATTGCCAAAAGTTTCAATATTTTCATGTCTTAACTTTTGCATTGGATAACCATGTTCTACACATACACATGAAAAAATCAACTTTAATCATTTCACTTGATGCTGTCTGAATGCAAGGTGGAAGAAGGTGATGAAAGTTCAGAAGACTTCACAGTCAATCACTTTGACATCTAGGTTATTCTGGTGCCTGTTGAATGAAGTTTCTATATGCTACAAGTACAAATTAAATGAGAGTAGGTGGTTTGAAGGGAAATAAATAATTGACAACATGTGGCTTGCGTCTGCTCAGAACAGAATGTTCTTGATGCAGCGGCACAAGAGAGCAGCATGCTGATCCACACCACAAAGTCCAGTTCCACTTTTCTGGTGACTGGCTTCACTCTGAAGTACCACAAGACGACACATTCACGTACACTAAGAAAATACAGACTTTGGCATCATGACCTCTAATAGAGGGCTCAGACACTCTCTCTCTCTCTCTCTCTCTCTCTCTCTCTCTCTCTCTCTCTCTCTCTCTCTCTCTCTCTCTCTCTCTCTCTCACACACACACACACACACACACACACACACACACACACACACACACACACACAACTTCATTGGGCATTCTAATTCCATGAAGTTTCATGCTACAAATTTCCAGTCTGATGAAACACTGGAACTTCAACGACACTGTCAGTCCAATATACATATTGTGCGTGCATGCTTCACAACATTTATTGAGCTCAAATATTTTACATGAGAAAAATCACACGGTACAACCCTAAACAAAAATGCTACAATCTGTAAACATTATGATATAAGGATTATCTTGTCTCAGTTTACTCCAAATCTTAGAAAATCTTCCCTCGCTTAATCGAACACAAACCGATTTTTATTTTGTTGTTTGGATGGTAACAACGCAGGTTAAAGCCAATCTTCTTCCATATAATCTAACTGCATTTTATTCTTCTGCCTGTCTGTATGTCAGTGGCAAAGTTTGTTCAACAAAGATACATTATTTGTTGTGAGAAAAAAAAAAATCTGACCAATAACACGTAACTGCTACAGCGCACTTGATTATCTCACACAGCACGTTTAGACCTCTATTTTGGGAAACAGGAAACCAATTTTTGTTTTTTTGTTTTTTTTTTTTACGAGTAAATCACTTCCAAATAAATCACATATGGATAGCAAAATTAATTAATGTTTATGATTGGTTTATACTAATGGCAGCAACGCTATTTTCTTGATACCCAAAATTTTGAGCAAAAAATAGCAAGAGGAGTGAACTTGCAAACAATGATCCTAAGAATAAGATGTGAATAATTAAAGTATGATTCTGATGATGGTGATGATGAGAAGAGGAAAGAAATCAACTCAAAGTCGTGGATGATGCAAACGCGTTGGATGTGGCTCGAGTAAACAACATCATCGCGGCCCCCTCCTGGGAAAGTTGCCTTTTGCTTGCCATGTTAGCAATAGTGTTGCTGAGCGAATTCCCACATTGAAACAACAGCACGCTGTATGTAATGTGGTTAATTGGACTCACAGCACAGTGGTAAGCAGGGGGATATCTGCTGCTCCGGGGGCCCTCTCCAGGCCGACGTTGGAGCAGTTGACCACGCAGCCCTGCTGGGGCCCTGCCGGCGTGCAGCTGCAGTTAACGGGACAGGGCGTGCAGCTCCTGCCCGCGGCCGTCTGCGAGCCGAGGCTCCACGGCTCCAAGCAGCACAAAGCCACCAGCAGGCTGGATAAGAAGTAGAAGCTGCTCCCGCAGACGCCATGTTTTCGCTTGGTTACAGTCGCTCCATTTCCACAAGGCATAGCTCACTCACATCTCATCGCATCTGATGGTGGAAGTCCTCGCAGGCTGGAAAGGACCAAAGCAAACACACTTTTTTTTGGCCTCGGGTTTCATGTGAGGAGATCCGCGATTGAAGAAGGATCCACTTTTGGACGAGGTAAACTCCAAAGTTTTCCTCGGCTTTCCCCGTTCCTCTGAAAAACTAACGGAGCGTCTCCAGGAATCTTTCCCTGACGAAAAAAGAAAAAAGTTTTAGAACTTCCTCTCTCCTCCTCCTTCTCCTCCTCCTCTTTCCACATTATGCAGTTCTACAAACCACCGCTGAATATCCACTGCAGTGCTTCCCAAACTTATTCAGCCAGAGCACATGCAATATTTTACATGATGATTAAAAAAAAAATCAAAAAAATCTGAAAAATCAAACTCTTGAGTGAATTTTTTATGCATATGTTGAATTTCTAATTTGAAATTAATTTTAAATGCCATTCATTCCAGGTCAGCCCAGCAAAACCCGCTCAAATTTACGTGTTAAAATTAATATCACTTAATGATGAGATATAATCCATCCATCCATTTTCGAATCCAATTTCCTCACGAGGGTCGCTGGCGTGCTGGGAACTATGAGCAATATTTTGAAGTGGCTCACTGGACAAGAACGAGAGAATGTTGTGATAAAAGCTAGTTTCGAGCGCCTTCCTGGGGATGAGGATCACAGGAAAAAAAATAGTTTGGTAGCCTTCGTTTGAAAAGACCTCAACGTTTTACCTGTGCCCCCTTTCATTTTGCGGAGAAAAGGTACGGCGCTGCAAAACGCAAAACTTTGTGCTGATGGACTTGCTGCTTGCATTGCAAAAAAACAAAACAAACAAACAACAATTTTGCTGGGTGACATTGAGTGCCACGAGAACGTCAGATATTGTTTTTACGTGTGTGGGAGACACAACACTTTAGTATTTAGTCAACGCCTGAAATTATTAGGGCCGCCACAATATTTTGGATGCTATGGACAGGAAAGCGGTTTTTGCCTCACGTATCAAGCGAGTTCGGAGCGCATTTAAAAATGTGACTGTACAGTGTCGCGTGCCTCTTTTTTTTTTACATCATCCTGCTGCTGCGTTGCATTAGCAGGAAGTGGCAACAACTGGCATTCCCACATTGTTAAAGTCTGTAACTGTCATATAAGGTGGACTCGCACTAACAGTTTCCGCGTCACCAAAACGCTAGTTTCTCATTACTGGAAGTTGCGCATCCATTTCACACAAAGGCTCATGCGATGTAGGAATAAGATGGATCGTGCAGGGAACAGGTGAAAACAATGAGGTTGCAACAGAGTAAGTCAAGCTCATATACAAGAAGAAGTTTACAGGAACTGGGTTTTCAAAAGAAAAGGTAACAGGAAATAAGCACAACATGAACATAGTGTAAAAGAAAGTGAGATAGGCAGACGTCTAAAGGGTTTTGAATCAAATGCCTGCAGCGTATCTGGCGACTCTAAGCAATCCAAATGTTAAATTAGTGTTTAGTTCCCAGTCTTAATCTTATTCTCCTTTAAATGTAATGTTTCCATGCACTGTGGTGTTCATGTTCTTAAACAGAGCAATTAAACGCAATCATGTGTGATTTCAACATCGCCGGGAAATCCGTGGCATCATTAAATGAAGAGTTGATTTTGGACGACGATGTGCACATTGGGACTCAGCAATGTTTGGTTTTTGCTCCCATTTTCATGAGCTGAACGCAGAGATCTAATTAAGACTTTTTCCATGAGCAAACCAGGCCAATTTCTCTCATGTGCTGTTTACAAATATGTCAAAATCTGTTTGAGTGCTTCTCCTTTGCCAGGATAATTTATCCTCCTTCATGGATGCCGTCTCTCAAGATGCTGAGAAGACAGCGTGATTGTTGCAAAAACTTTCGTCGAAATGTCGGTGTATGGTTACACAACCTGTTTAGATGCTTGAACAGGGTCTGCATTCAAATTTCACACCACAACCGATGTGATTTGTAGTACGAACTTGAATTGCAGGTCTGAAGCCTGTTTGGTGCTTGTGGCATTCTCAGCCATCGACTGAGGCTGTTTGAATACCCCAAAGACATTTACAGAGAATATAAAAAAAGGTTCCAAATAAAATGAGCTGCCTCTCCAAAATATCCCGGTATAATATGACACGTACATTTTATTCTTATCTGAAGGATGAGTGGAGCTGTTCTGATTAACCAGTTTGGCCTTACTCCTGAAACATATTATTTAGTATTTGTCTGGCCAGGACGGGTCCAGTCTGGGTTGAGTGAAGGTAAAATGAGCTAAGCTTCTGTTTGGTTATGGGGAGGGTCCATGGGTCTAGGCAGGAAAACAGCACTTACTGAGGCCACTAGATGTGTTATTGTAGGGCTACAGGAAGGAGGAGGGCTCCACTGAAGCAGGCTCTGTAGATGCACGAGTAGGAGGGAAAAGGAGCTGCGGTATAACGCAAAAGAACTGCTGCATTTGTAATGAATGTTAAAAAAAAAAAAAAAATTTAAATCATAGCATTAACTAATTTACCGGGACATCCGTTTTTTTTTTCCTCAAGGGACTTGAACACACTGTCACTCAAAAAACACATTATAGTTGATGGAATTAGACTAAATACATTGTTTTCCCACTAATGAACCACATACAGCATTTATGAGAGAAAAATATTACATGACAATGCATTAACACAAAAAAGGATATAAAGTACACAACTAATACAAAATAGCGAAAGTGTGATTTTTCAGAGTCATATTGGCCCATAAAAGGAAACTATGAATAAATGAGTTTGACAAAAGTAGTAATTCTTACCATGATCCCAAAAATGCAGACGCATTATTGTGTGAGTATGAGTGTGTGTGTGTGTGTGTGTGTGTGTGTGTGTGTGTGTGTGTGTGTGTGATGTGTCTCATGGTAGTAGAAACTAACTAGGCAGCAAATGAACAACAATTAAAAAAACAACAACTGTATTTTCAGTACCTTCAGCAACAAACGTATTAATGAAAAGGAACCATCGTTGGATTTAATAATGTGGCTGGAGTTTTCCATCCATCCATCCATTATCTGATCTGCTTATCCCCACGAGGGTCACGACCGTGCTGGAACCTATCCCAGCTGTCTTCGTACACACGTAGACAAACAACCATTCACACTCACAATTACACTTTTTCACAATTTAAAGTGTTCAATCAACCCACCGTGCATGTTTTTGGAATGTGGGAGGAAACCTGAGTAGCCGGAGAATACCCACGCAGGCACGGGGAGAACACGCAAACTTCACATAGGGAAACCCGGACCCTGGATTCGAACACTCGTCTTCTGCACCAAAGGACACTCTAATTCAGGGGTCACCAACATGGTGCCCATGGACACCAGGGAGCCCTATTCCAAAAAATAGCTCACCAGTGATTAGACACTGTGACTGTCCGGGAATATTGTAGAATCAATCATTTCAAAATGTGTACACTGGCAGATATTTATAATAAAGTGTGGCCAATTGATATTTATCTCTTTCATAATTATTGTGAGAAATGACTAATGTGATCAGTGTCTTCTCAGAAATGAATATCATTAATCATTAATCATCACATACACAGGTAGTTTGAGCAAATTTATTTCAAAAGTGCATACTATTAAACCGGTAGCCCTCCGCATTAATCAGTAACCAAGAAGGAGCTCTTAGTTTCAAAAAAGTTGGTGAGAGAGGTGTCTCTGCTCTTAATTTTCCCTTAGTGTGACTGTGAGTCCGAAACAAGAAGTTATTCTCCTCTTCTTTGCCTTCCTTTTGAGACAAAGGTCATCTTGAAAAAACATCAACGTAATTTCCCATCATTTATGTTGGGTCCATTTGCATAAAACAATCACAGCATCTGGTGTTTCCCTCAAGTCCTTGTGCTGGAAAATTGGAAAAACATAAAAAGGGTGCCCACGGGACAATAATGTCCCTTGACAGGTCAGTAAGGTCAACCCTTCTATCGTGTGATAGTTTCGCTCCAGGGGATTTGATATACACAGGCACATTATTAGGAGGCGCTTTCTCCCCAACCCACCTGATGCAAAGATCTTCAAACCCAAAGTGTGTGTGTGTGTGTGTGTGTGTGTGTGTGTGTGTGTGTGCGTGTGTGCGTGTGTGTGTGTGTGTGTGTGTGTGTGAATGCGTGATGAGTTCGTGACTTAGCGGGTGGTAGGCATGCCACTCTCCATTGTTCCCTGCAGAGAAGAAATACCAGGAAAAAAAAAGACCACCAGCAGTGCAAATGGAGGTTACAGTACATGTGCTGGTTACGGGAGCGTATAAGCAAATTGATGTATCTGTTTTGTCTGCAGCTGTATATCGATTCTGTGTGCGTGTGTGCGTGTGTGCGTGCGTGCGTGCGTGCGTGCGTGCGTGCGTGCGTGTGTGTGTGTGTGTGTGTGTGGCAAAATCGCCTTCCAATCCATATGTACAGCATCATGATGAAATTCTTATTATTTAGGGTGTAGAAAGGAAACGTGCACCAGTAGTGTGGTTTGTGTGTAGTGTCGCATTGCGTGCATCACATCCGCTGGGCTGCAAAATGGCGCCTGCTGAGCAAGTTGGCCAGACGCTGTGGCTGTGTCCAAATTCACAGGCTCGCATGACGTCACTTCCTGCACCACTCGACCAACATTTTGTTTCCAAATTCTAGAAAGACATTTCGCACGCGCTGTCATTCGACGCCTTCAAAGGCTCGTCCTCATGCAGCCTCCGTGGAGCGCAATAACTGTGGCAGATTGGCAGGCTTAATATGAATTTGGACACAACGTGCAGTTGAGTTCCACCAGAAATGATGTCACCTAGCCGAAAATGTGGCCTTCGGAGGACCTAGCCTGTGAATTTGGACACAGGCTGTTAATAAAATAAGTTTATGGGTAATTTTCAGATAATTACAGATAATGAAAACAACCTTGTTTTTTTTCCTATGTGCACATAGGAAGCCATGCCCTCTCTTGTAAATGTTATTGATGATTTAAAATTTTTGAGTGTCACCATATAGACAGCTGTGGTCAAGTGGTTAAGGTCCTCTGCCACTTGAGCAAGACACCGACATCCCAAACTGATCTTGGGCACTTCAACAGCTCCTTGCTCCAGTGTGTGTTTGCTGCAATGGGCCAAATTCAGAGGTCTAATTTTGTGTATGTTTGTACATGACCTAAAAAGATGATTCTTTTTCTTAAGCTCATAGGGGAAAAAATCATATACAGTGATATGGACTTAATATTTAATGAGGGCCCACTGAAATACAATTCTTCCATGCTTGTAAATACAAAAGTGTGCAACAGTGAAGACATGAACAGGTTAATAGCAGCCATGTGGGGTTCACAATTTACATGTGTTTCGCAGATACAAGTGCATAAATCAGCCTAATTCACTAAACCCATTACAGTCCTGTCTCAGTACATTTATAATAACAATAACAACATGGCATTGTTCTGACATGTTCACAAATTCATACATGTCGGAAATAACACCATCTATTTTGCAGTCTTCTGTGAGTGGAAAAATACCTGCTACATCCTGGCACTTCAGATGACAGATACCTCTGGTGTATTGCAACAACGAAATGCCCTTGGAGGGTTTAGATTAGGGGATGTCATTAATATTTTTCCAAATTTGAGCCTGTGACGCCCTTTGAGGCTCTTCTGTGATTACGAGCTGCGTACAGTAAATCGTTTTGACTTGCCTTCATTTGACATGAGGCATCCTCCAGTGACAGTAATGGCAAAGACATCCTGAGTGACATGACTATTATTGTAAAAGAACCAAAAAGAAAGGAACTCTTAAAACATTAAGATGCATTTGTTAGTTTTCATGGAAAGGTCATATTAAGAAATTGGAGAAAAATCCTCTATATGGAAAAATGTAATTAGTGTATTCAGAATTCAGAATGTTGCAAATCATGAAATTTCATTGTTGACACATAACGGCAAAATTATTTTGGCATTATAAGTGGAAATATATGAGTTAAAAACAATTAATAGGCTACCTCGTGAATGATAAAAACTCCCAATACTTCAAAGACTCACATCAGTAAAAATTGATCGATTTCCAAAGTGAAATTTAGTGGGTCATGTATGTATCATTATTGCTAAAATTATGTGAAAATGATACTCCCTTCTTCCTTCACACGTGTAAATTGCGTATGCGTAAGTGGTAAGCGTTTGTGTTGATTATTTCTATTCTTTAAGAACATTTGATTGTATTTACTGTTATTTTCATTTTCTCCACAAGATAATGGATTATACTTGTTTGTTTTCTTACATTAATTTTATTTTTTAAGGTGCTTTATACTTGTATGTTTACCTGTTTTTAATGTTTGCGACTAATCCACTGAACAAGAAGTACATCACACTGAACTTGAGTGCAACGCAACCTCGTCAAAATCAATAATTCAAATTCTCTCGCGCGTAAAAGTCGAGCGTGACTGAATCCGACCTTGACGCACAGCTGGAGCGGCGTCAGTCATCACTTTTGTCAAGAAGCGAAAACATGGTTGGTTGCAACTCATAATCCTTTGAGAGACAAATCTTTTTTGTGCTTCCAATAGGATACTCGACACCTACGTTTTATGTGGAGTGCGACGGTGGCGCTTGCCTATTTTGCATCCCATTTTGAATGCTTTCCAGAATCCGACCAGTGCGCGCAACAGAAAACAGAAACCGCGCTCACGCTCTTAGCCGAGAGACGTTCTTTCTTTACTCTTTTGAGAACTTCGGGAGAGATTCAAAAGTGCAAGTGAAAGTGAGCAGCAAAACCGAGTCACCCAGCCTGTTGTAAACTCGATTATGGAACAAGTGGATGTGCTCAATCGTTCTTCTCCAACTTCTGCCCTCAACAACGGCTCCTCCGACGACTTGGCGCAGAGTGTTCCCTTCCAGGGGGGCAGCACCCTGATGACCGCGGTCATCTCCATCACAGTCTTCGTGGTAGGATTGGCCGGCAACAGCCTGGCCATCTTCGTGGTGCTTCGCTATGCCACCATGAAAACGGTGACCAACATCTACATCCTCAACTTGGCTATCGCCGACGAGCTCTACATCATCGGGCTGCCTTTCCTCACGACGCAGAATGTGCTCTCCTACTGGCCCTTCGGATCCTTCCTGTGTCGGCTCGTCATGACCGCGGACTCCATGAACCAGTTCACGTCGATTTTCTGCCTCACCGTCATGTCCATTGACCGCTACCTGGCCGTTGTGCACCCCATCAGGGGATCCAAGTGGAGGCACCCGCGCGTTGCCAAGGCGGTGAGCGCAGCGGTGTGGGCTGTCTCTTTTGTGGTGGTCCTACCTGTCGTCGTCTTCTCTGATGTGCAGGTACGTATCACTGGTCCTATAACATTTTGGTTTATGGATCATTCCTGAATTGGAGGACATTTTCTGCTCCTCCACCCGCAAGAGGGAGGGGAAAAAACACACACAATAAATGAAAATACACTCGTGTAAATTTGGTTGTCCTGAGACGAAATGCAAATGTGTTTTGTTTTTTTTGTGTATGTGTGAAAATGATCCCTAAATATCATTTAAAATAACAAATAGCTATTGAATCCCCCGTATCCCCCCCCCATACACTCAGACATATTTTTTTCAACTTTTCAAAGATTTTTATTGTCAAACCAACACACAAAATATCATAAGTCCTAATTTTGTGCTTAATTACCAGATCGAACACTTGAATCTCAAATCTTGAAAATGAGTGGAAATACCATTAAACTGCCACCCTCTCCCCCATCCAAAAAAACTGTTGTAATGTGTATTTTAATTTGGGGAAAACACTACATAATATACATGTAACTTTATAAAAAATACAGTCATGGCAAAGATATATAATCAAAAAGAATGAAACTATTTTTGTCACAATGCATCAAGTGAATGGCGAATGCACTGCTCATTCTGGTGTGCCCTCCTTAACCACCTGGGAGCAGTATAAGGCAGACAGATATATTGTCCATTGATTTTTCTCAACTCCTTTCAGTTCAGTCCAGCTTTTTATTCATCCATCCATCCATTCTCGACCGCTTATCTGGGGCTGGGCTGCTTAACATATTTAGGAGGGAAGCCCAGACTTGGCACCAAAAAACTCCAATAAAATTGAGCTCTTTGACCATTAAGTTAGTTGTCTTTCTAGTGTGTTCACCGGAAAATAGGTTGGATAGAATTTGCAAATCATTGTATTCATTTTTATTTGCAGTTTACACAATGTCCCAACTTTAGAGCTAGTGGGGGTTGTACATTCAATCTCATACTGTATTTCTGAATCCAATTGTGTCTCAAAACATTCAAAAGAGATGACTAACTGATGATTTTCTCATATCCCTCTTGCCCATGTAAGCCAATGTGCAGGTAACCGGTTTTGAAATGTCCCTTTAGGACACATTCAACTCTTGCAACATGATCTGGCCAGAGCCAAAAGACATGTGGTCAACAGCCTTCATTCTCTACACCACCACGGTGGGCTTCCTTGTGCCCCTGCTCATCATCTGCCTCTGCTACCTGTTGATAGTCATCAAGGTGTGTGTCTGTGTGTATTTATGTGTATGTATGTATCAGCTCGTGTTCATAGCATTCCTACATGTGTTTTTATTTTCCTGCAGGTGAAGTCCTCTGGAGTGCGAGTGGGCTTCACCTCGCGACGGCGTTCTGAGCGTAAGGTGACACGCATGGTGGTGGTTATCGTGGTGGTGTTTGTACTCTGCTGGCTGCCGTTCTTCATCATCAACATCATCAACCTTGTGGTCATCATCCCTGAGTCCAGTGCCACCGCAGGAATATACTTCTTTGCAGTCATCCTGTCATATGCCAACTCCTGCGCCAACCCTCTGCTTTATGGTTTCCTCTGTGACAACTTCAAACAGAGCTTCAGAAAGGTACGTTGATGAGTTAATTTTAGCTCATCTTTCATGTCGACCGTAGAACCTTGCAATTTGCGGGGGGGAGGGACTAACGGGAATAACGAAAACCCTCATATCGTGGATGCTCATTGAAATGCACTTGGAAAAAAATGTAATGACCAAAAAAAAAAAAACCAAACAAATAAACAAAAAAAAACATTGATGGCAAATGGACTTTGACTTGTATAGAGCTACTCGAAGCACTTAACAGTGACTCCTCATTCACCCACCGACAGTGCAGCATCAGGAGTTAGTATTCTTCTCAATGACATTTTCACATCGTCACAAGGACTGGGGATTGAGCACACAACATCTGGGTTGGGAGACAACCACTCTACCACCTGAGCTATGCCGTCCCACAATCACTAATATGAGTTATCCAAGAAAAACGTCCCCCCACACACACACAACAACAACAACAACTAAACATATATTTGGAAATATTAAAAGGTCATGGGTTGAGACAAGTCAAGACAAGTCAACTTTATTGCCAAATGTGCTCTATGTGCAACATACAGCACCAGATGAAATTTCTTACCTCTCAACCACAGGAGAGAGAGGAGCCGCTGCGGGTGCCCGCACCTCCATCAACAGAACAGTTAACATAAAATGACAAAATAATAATAATAAAAGTCGTGCAATCTGAACCACTTTTTCTGCATACACTGTGTTTATCATCAAGATGCATGTCAAATTACAAGATAAGACTTACTCAACAACACAAATGACTTGATTATGTGTCATCTGAGGTTAAAGTACTGAACATAATCAATATTTGAACAAGAATTGACATAGAAATTGAACAACTGGGCAACAATGGTGAACTAGATAATATTGTTGGCTTGGGCCTTCCTATGTCGATTCCCATTTGGCAACTCTGTCAAAAAGCTCAAGTCTTTTGGTATCCATTTTCTTCTGCTTATCCAAGGGCAAAAGGTTAGGAGGGGAGCTTAGACTTGCCTCTCCCCAGCCACTTCATCCGGGTGTATCCCAAGTTGCTCCTATTACAGTCGGGACAATGAGCCTTTGAAGCGTGTCATGGGTCATCCCTGAGGCCTCTCAGTGGGACGTGCCTCGAATGCCCAAGCCACCTCATGTGGCTCCTCTCAATGCCCACCCCTGTAATCCATAATGTAATCCACACGTACTATCAAAGCCTGAGAGAGTGTGCGAGGTTGTTCTGTGATGCTGAATGAGGGTGGGATGTTCAACAAGTGATAATCTGTGTGAAGTGCAACATCCTGTTTTACTGGATTCTGTATGAAGGCACACGCTGATGCAGTCAGTGCCAGGTGGTCTGTTGCGATTTTTGAGGCCTCTATGAGTGCAGCATCTTTGAGGTTGAGTGATTAACGCTGTTGTTGTGGGCCTGCAGGTGCTGTGTCTGAAGAGGTTGAGGTGTAATGCCAATGGCGTGGATGACGGCAACCCAAGTGCTCGCCGTGTAGTGAGGTCAATGCCAACTGAATGTGCCCCTTATTCTCCGAAACATCAGGTGTCTTACCACCCCCAGAGCAGCCAGGTATGCTAGTGCACAGGTTTTTTTCTGCATAGCTGTGATTCACAAGCTGCAGACACTCTTGTTTTGTCATTTACTGAAAAACACCGCTAGTTTTTGAGGGATTAGCATAGCCTGTCATGATCATCCATAAGATGCCTCTCACGACATTGTCGCTCTTTCCCCCTGTTGAAGATCTTTCCTCAGCCTTCAGGCTTCCAACTTTCTCACACAGCTGCTGACTTGCACTGCTGCGTCTCGACACGCAAGCAGTCTTCCTCCACACTCCCGCAATCCCCCAGGACCACGACAATTACAGCAACCTCCATGAGCAAGGCGACTGAAATTCCTGCTAATAGCACAATAACAACAGCGCCTGCCGTCTCTTAGGGAATATGGCCTCTTGAAGAGGAGGTGGAGTTCATGCCTCTCCTTTTTTTTCTTTTTGTCAATTTCAAATGTAAAAAACATATTGGCATGGTACAGTGTTATACAGAAAAAGTAACATACAATCCTCAGAAAATTATCCCAGAAAATAAAAGAAAATAAAAATGTAAATAAGAAAGAAAGAAAGACAAAATGAAAGCGGAACGCTTGGGGCTTTCAGCTCCTCTCCAATTCAAGTCAAGCACCATTGATAAATGATTTTCAATTGATTGTCCTTTTACTAATTCAGATTGTTTGTCTGACATGATTTCTACAACGCCAGATTTCAATCTGTTTTGCAAATAGATGTTGGGCCGCACGATGATCAACTGGTTACCATGTCGGCCTCACAGTGGAGAGGTGCAGGGTTTGATTCCGGCCATGGCCTTTCTATGTGGAGTTTACATGTTCTCCCTGTGTCTGCGTGGGTTTTCTCTCTGGTTTCGTCCCACATATGAAAAACATGCATGGCAGGTTGATTGGCCACTCCAAATCCTCCGTAGGTGTGATTGTGAACATTTTTTTATTATTATTATTTTTTTTACAAATACTGTTGATTTCTATGATGACTTCTAGTTATGTTTTTCTTACTATTCCTGTTTACTAATTTACTTTTTGAGATAGTAATCTGGTGTCAGTGTTAAGTCTCAGTGTTAGTTTCTGTCCTAACATCATTTTTCACGTCAACTATTTTTTGGGCAGAAAGGTTCATTTTCAAGCAAATTTGAATTCCATTTCCAATTACCGTACCTTTTTTTTAAATGTGGGTTTGAAAATTTAAAAAAAAGAAAAAAAGAAATTAACTATTGTCACTATGATCTTTCAGTGGTGCAGCTGAAATTTAATGGATTACTTTAGTGGATAAGAGTTTAGAAACAGCATCTTGTCCCATCCTCCATCTTGCCATACTCTTGAAGCGGAAGCTGAGGATGAAAGAAGTGTGAGATATAGATGTGAGAAGGGGCAAGCAGGTAGCATATATACAAAATATAGCTGAAATGAAATATGGGTGTATATAATGTTTCTAGATGCAAGTGTTTTTGTGTTCATAAAAGTATATATGTTTGTGTTGACATGTACAATTCCATTCGGTTTGCTGGCAAATGACGAATGATTGGAAACTTCGAAAACTGAAGGACTAAGTGCCAGTGGAAGTGGGTTTTCGTCCATCACCGCAATATTCATTAACCGGGTCAGCACCAACGGCCATTCTGAGTCCGTCACCGACTGACTCCCAATTTGCTGACGTCTGACAGAAACACGCGTGTCTCACGTGCGTTTGTTCGTGGGGGTGAATATACACCGGGATTGCTTCGAGTGGACTGCGTTAACTATGTATGGAAACGCATAACCAGAAATGCTCACCTTTGACCTACAGTAGATAACATAGCCTGCCAAGTCCCTTTGCGGTCCCTGAACAACAAAGAGAAAGTGTTTGGTTTGACCGCACCAGTACAGATGCGTGGATTGATTTGTAAATGCATATTGGGACTCATACTTTTCTGATCAGCGAGTCCCTGGAACTCGCAGGGCTCAAACTGTAAAATTATCACTACTGAATGTGATGCATTTGTTGTTATGAGTCCTTGTGGATAATGTTTCTCTTTTTAACTTTCTCCGTGTTATTTGCAGTAAAAATTGAGAGTTGACTGTGTGTTTATTAATGTAATACATACATTACATACTTCATATCAGGGGTGCACCCATCAGTCGGCCGGGATCGGTACTGATTTCCTGAATTGCGGGGGTTGGTTGATTGGTTGATTGCTTAAATTAAAACCGATCGTGTCCACCGATCTTGCGATTAGAAAAAATTGGGATCAGCAAGTTAGGCTTTTTAATGATCGTTTATCGACCAGAAAATTTGTGATTGGTGCACCCCTACGTTGTGTGTATTTTGTATCCAGAAGCTGTGATGGTAGTGAATTTAAAGGATTGTAAAGGTAGGAAACCAAAACAATAGTGAATTTAAGTGACGTGTTGACGTGACGTGAAGACATGTTACAAAATTCTCAAATGTGACCAATTTTCTTCCTCAGGCTCCATACATAAAGAACATGACCAACACATTTGATTTGTAATGCATTTATATGGTACAGGAAACCAAAATACATTCTATTTTTTGATCGTGTTGTTGTTATTTTCTGTGTTTCTTTGAAATAAAAAGCTGTGGTCATATGTTTTGGCTTGGTACTGTCACATATTAAAACTGTCGTGGAATGCATGCAAGTGTGTCACAGATTTTGTGAGACAAACTGTATAGAACTTGGCTGCGTTGATATCACCTCACTCATTCTCATAAGCACAAAATTCTTTAATCTTTACTTGTATCGGTATAGAATGAGGTTAGCTGCAAACCATCCTTAAACTGCTCTGCATTTGGTGTGCAGTACAGTACTTGATTGATACCATGGCCCAAGTTGCTTTGCCATGAAAACATAATACGTTATGACATATTAAGCTTTCATCACTGAACACATAGCATCGCCGCACTGATGGCTTAAATCATCATCCATCAACGCTGGAGCCTTTCTGCCATCTGGTCAATGTTGTCGGTTCAGAAATCCTTCACCTTTTCAAGATCGTTCATCACTGCACTTTCAATCACAGCATCGACTGGGAAGGGATCAAAGTTAATGAGCCATGAGTCACCCTCATTTTGAAACTCATTCAAGAAAAGAATGTTGACATGAGAGGTTGCTGACAATGTAGGAGAGTGCAGTACCACAAACTTTATGGTGTTGAGATCACACGTATCAAATCATAAATTTGTTCGGTTGTTGATTTAAAAGCCAACAATCGATGCTGACAAACGGAAATGTCATTTGAACCTCCTGATAGACGTTCTGCTGCCATTTTAGTAAAAATTAAGGTGTGATAATGTGAAGCGTATGAGGAGGGGCAGGGGAAGAGATTGTCAAAGTGGATGCAATATGGGATTGTTTCAATGATCATCAATCTACTGTCCAAAAAATAGATTGTTCATTTTTTTACTACCTGCAATTACCAAATATATGTCGGCAAGCCATCATGTTATCAACTACTTGCGTAAATTGACAGGTTCCATCACGTTCTATTTGGGAAATCCATTCCATTTCATTCATTAAACATGAAAAGACAAGTGGGCATAAAAATGAATTCATCAACCTTCGGCGAGACCAATGAAAATTCTTGTCCACCAGCTGACATCTCAAGAGTGGGAAGCAGTGCGCCTTAAACACTGTGTATAGTGGTGATGAGGTGCTGCTAACCTTGACTTTGGACGTTCTAAGTCTGTGTGGATAATTCTTCGAAGACCTCCTAAATTACATCAACACACGGAACAGTATTTGTTTTCAGCTTTTTGAGATCTTTTGACCAACTTCAGTTTTGTCAGACAGGTTCTACAGTATTTAAGTGATTTCTTGATTGAGCAGGTCTGGAGAAAATAGCTTGAAATAGTTTTCTCCCTCCTTAGCCTCCTGACTACCAGTAGTTCAAATTTGTCCTCTGTAGAGGACATTTGTAAACCTAAATATCTCCCACCCAGTGCACCCAGTCGCATTAACTCCTTTTGTTACTCTAAAGAGGACATTCAGTGCTTTCCAATGATACCAAATTTGTAGGGGTTAGAACAAGTAAGAAAATGGCTTCCCTTAGTGCAAGCACTTTTTATGGGAAGAGGAAAAGTAATACTTTTTATCGACCACATTTTGTCTTGAAATGCTGCTGGCATTTTATTTATAAGACTCTTATGAACATGTTGAGTTGTTTTAAGTGTATTTGAGCCTAGTATTCAAGTGTTTAAAAAATGTCGTGGAATTTCAAAAATGTCTTTTGGAGTAGTCCAATTACTTCACATAGATTGGGGAATTTCAAAATTAATGTGATTGGACAACATTTTTTTTCCTGGTAGTCAGGAGGTTAGTAAAAAAAAAAGTCATCATTTAAAAAATGCTTTTTATATTTACTTGTGTAATATTTGCCTTTACATTAATTTGCTTATCATGAACATTAAAGTGGGTGGCCTGGTGGTCCAGTTGTTAGCGCGTCGACCTCACAGTGCAGAGGTACCGGGTTCAATTCCAGCTACAGCCTCCCTGTGTGGAGTTTGCATGTTCTCCCCGGGTCTGTGTGGGTTTTCTCCGGGTATTCCGGTTTCCTCCCACATTCCAAAGACATGCATGGCAGGCTGATTGAGCAGTCTAAATTGTCCCTGAGTGCGCGGATGGTTGTTCGTCTCTGTGTGCCCTGCGATTGGCTGGCAACCGGTTCAGAGTGTCCCCCGCCTACTGCCCGAAGATGGCTAGGATAGGCTCCAGCACACCCCCGCGACCCTTGTGAGGATAAGCGGATCGGAATATGGATGGATGGATGGAATAAACATTAAAGTGGCGAGACTAAGAAAAAAAAAAACTCTGGAATGTGAGAAGAGGGCAAATCCTTTTCCTAGGCACTTCCATGGCATAGCATAGACTGGATAGTACAGAAGGTGAAAGTGAGAAATTGTGCCCACTGTTCATGTTGACGATTGGATCATTGTCACAAGGGAGGGATAATGGAGGGATTATGGGATGGACCATAATTGACAAGGTCCTATTGGATGGACTCAAGTGATGACAAGATTACCCAGATTAGTGATAATGTGCTATTAGTCAGCACTTGTATTGGTTGTTTCCATTTAGCAGTTGTCTTTATGTCTCTGTGGAAGGTACAGAAAGACTCCAGGTATTGAGATCAGTTCCAGGCAAAATTAAACCAACCACTTCTTTGTCCCTGAAACATTTGGAGAGGAAAAATTCAGAGATCCATGGTTCCTTGTTGTATCCTTTCCATTATGCAATACCCATTTGCTGAATGGATTTCCACAAAATGTTATGCATCGGTTCACATTTACCTCTGGATGAGTAATTGTCATCAGATATTTGTTAACTTACAGTCCAAAGGATCCTTTGTCCTCTGAATCCAAAGCCTGAAGGAGATTAGAGTTCAAGAAAATTTGTTCCCTCCCACATTGGAACACAGGAACACATAACCATCCATTTTCTACTGTCATCTATCACTGCACTTCTCACTTTGTTCAATTTGCTTCTTCATCAGTCTTGTAACGTCCATGCCTGACACATTAGTAAGCATTTACTAAGTAGCTGGATGAGACTACCGCTCTTCTTTCCTTACACGTGTTTGTTTGTCTCAAGAGTGTATTTGTGTACCACAAGCCAGCTTTGGCTTCTCTCGTATCTGACAATAATCCGTCACTGATGTGGTATCTGCCAGCAACAGTCTCTTCCACACTGATCCAAAGTGGCTTGATTGCCAAGTTCCATGGCTCCTGCTGATTGTCATGGCCCCTTTCAGATCCTCTCCATCTCCAGATGGACATGAGCGCATGTCCAAGGCAGGAGATTAGTCCGCCCTAAAGGGAGTCTTGGCTGAATGATAAACTGTTATGTAACATTTCCTCCAAGGATGGCCACGTGGCCTCAGAGCACGGACCATCTGCCTTCATTTACCCAAATCCCCTCCTCAACCACGCCAGTGATTCGCTTTATGGGCACCTGTAACGTGAACAATTTGCCAGTAGCTGTTTGTTTTAATCTACTGCGGCGTCACCAGAAAATGGAAGGATGAACAGGCAGCCATCCCTCTTCAACGATGATTCAGCGTGAAGATGAACGCTGTGAAGTAGGAGTGGGGAAATAACACAAAGTTTGGAAAAAAAAAAAAAAAACAACCTTGGGTGTGAAGTGGTGTGCTCATTATTTCCTGGTTGGATGTGTGCACCAGCAGTCTCTGCTTCCCCTACGTGGGTGAGCTCCGGCAAAGCTGGGATTGCATCTCTGTTGACACCTCCGCACAGTCAACATGGAGCAGGGAGAGAGAAACATGCAGACCGAGTAGTGACCGGGATGAGAAGACGGACGACAGTGGTTGCTAGAGACGAAGAGACATGTTCAAAACAAGGAGAGAGAGTGAAAGGGAGACAAATGAGACATTTGAAAATTAGGCAGAAGTAGTCGAGTAGTAAATAACTGATCAGTGTTTGTTTTTTTTGTTTTTTTTTAAAGGGGCCGTGTCAGAGCAGCACAGGACCCAAAAAAACTTAAAGGACGTTTTGAAATGCAACATGGACACTGTTGGGTTGCAGCAAACCTGAAGATTTGAAGTGGGATTATGCAATCAAATTAGACGAATTCTCCAAATGATGACATGAAGAATTTGATGCCTATCTATTATCATTAATTAAGAATTGAAACTGCCAAGCTATCAGAGGTAAGTCTGAAAATGTAACATTCAAATCATATATAGGTGTGTAAGTGTTGCTCTGCTTGTTAGAATTCATTTGAGTTTTAAAAGTCAATTTAGATGTGAAGACCAGTTTGCTAGTTAACGACATGATGCCAATTTGGGTATTTATTATATTCCGACGGGGCGGAACAATGGTGCATAATTATTGCTTGCATATATGTGTGTGTGTGTGTGTGTGTGTGTGTGTGTGTGTGTGTGTGTGCCTGTGTTTTTGGTTCTTAAGCTCGACTTCTCAAAGCCCAGCGTGCAATGTCAGCCCACGCTGTTCCCCGTTGCCAAGGAAACTATTGCCCACCGCTAAAATCAGTTCTGTTCTGTGCCGTGAGAGCATGAGTGTGCTTCTAAAGAGAAGAATATTCATGTCTGATCTATGACATTTTTGAAGCAGTATTCCATATATTCATGCCTACACTGATTTTTAAAAATTATTATGATTATTATGTCAAGTGATTAGACACAAAAAAATGTACCTTGATCCAGATGATTTTATTTCATGCAAACACTTGACGAAATAGAATTGAGTTAATTCAACCACCATTTTTTCAGTGTGTGATGCGTCGGACCTTCCTGCCTGTCATTGTCTCACATAACTGGTTCTCCTCTTGTTTTCAACATCCCTCTAAGATGGCTGTCAACAGTTTCCCCATCTTCCTCCTGCTACTGATCGGCTCTTGCACATCACACCCGTCGCCTCCTCCCCCACTGGGATGTAGCGAGCATGTGGAGCCCTCTTACCGAGTGCTGTGTGACCTGGAGTCGGTGTGGGGCGTTGTTTTGGAAGCGGTGGCCTGCAGCGGGGGCCTCACCTCTCTCATCCTCGCTACGCTCCTTCTCATCAAGCTTCGCTCGATTTCAGACCCGGCCAGGCGCTCTGGCGTGGGACCCCTTCTGCTACTCCTGGGAACACTCCTTGGGATATTCCCCATCTCTCTGGCGTTCCTTGTGGGAAAGAACCAGGTCCTCTGTGTGGTTCGCAGGGCCTTCTGGGGTCCCCTCTTTGCCCTTTGCTTCTCGAGCTTGCTGGTCCAGGGCCTGAGGCTCAGGAGATTGGTGGCTGGGAAGACGAGCCCATCGGGGAGCACGCTGGCTGCACTGGGCTTGGCATTGGCCTTGGTTCAGGGGATCATTTCTGCTGAATGGGTCCTTCTCACTGTCGTCAGGGAGGGTCATCCAGCTTGCGAGTATCCACCTTTGGACTTTGCTCTGACATGCAGCTACACCTTAGGGCTGCTCCTCATAGCCATGGGGCTCTCTCTAGGGGTAGTGCTGTGTGGGGGGGAACTGGTGGTAGACGCAGCTCGTGAAAGTGACGAGGATAGAGAAGAAGAGGGTGACAAAAGGAGATGGAAGTGTAATGCAGTTTGGCTTTTCCTGGCAAGTCTGGCATCAGCGTTGCTTTGGGTGGCCTGGCTTGGCTTTTATCTCTATGGGAGCCAAGCAATGAGGATCAGGGGGAAAGTGGGGAGGTCAGGAGGAGGAGCGGGAAAGGTGGAGGACCGTCTGCTGGATGAGCCCGCTCTGGCGGTAGCCCTGGTGGTGCAGGGATGGATCCTTCTGCTCTTCCACGGCATTCCAGAGAGCCACCTCTGTCTCTGGAACCGTTCACAATGCGGCAGGCAAGATTTCTTTGACACCAACGAGACAACGCCTCCTCCACATTTCAGAGATGAGCTCCCGGCGCACTCTCACCAACCCTTCCAGGAAAACCAGGCCTTTTCGATGGAGGAGCACGGTGCAAGTACGCCCATGTTGTGTCTCTGTGTGTTGTCGTTACACATTTCCTCCAGTAGTGTTTGAATTCTGCTTTCAAGTGGAACTATGGAGGTCACACTTTTGACATCAAGATGGAGCAGAAACGTGCAGCTGGAAATGTACAGTCGCTAGGCAACCAGAAACACAAACTTGGGCCTTTTTTTTGTCATTCAATGTCATATGCCGATCTTACCAAATAGTACAAGAGAGAACAACTGGAACTGACAAACATTTAAAATCACACCATGTCCCGCAGAATGTGTTCTATTCCAAAAAATCCATTCAACCCCTTCGATTTAAGCCCTAATTATTTGACATCCTCTTCGGCAGAGAGATATATGAGTCATCGCGGCTTCGGTGCTCATTTGAAGCGGGTCTACTGATGGAGAGCTAATAAACAGCAAGGCACAAGGACAAACCAGACGGAGAGAATGGCTGTAAAAAAGCATTAAAGAGCAGTCGTATTTAGGACAGACACATTGGTTTTGGTTATCATACACTTAACTGAGGAGAGATGAAACTCAACTAGGCTTAAAAGTGGTTTAGTCGAAACAGCATTGCACTGGTCAGTGATCTATACCTTCTGTATATATATCAAGGTTGACAAAAATTATCATTTGGATCTCAAACATCCTTTTACATCAGCAGACACATAAAACTGCAGATAATTTTCTTTTGTGTGGATTAATGGCTTAATCATAGTCCATATTCCTTCATCAGGAAAAGAACCATTTGATCATTTCAGTGGGAATTCAAAATTGAACTCTGCACACAGTGACATCTCAATGAAAATCGTTTTGAGAAATGAAAGATTTGTCATAAAAATGAATTCCACCGAATACAGCATCATGAGTTGGCATTGTAGAGTAATACAATGATAGAATATTTTGAAAAACATCATTTTATGCATGCTTGAATCGTTAGTGGCAAATAAATATGACGAATAAAAAGAACAGTTTCCCACTCAAAATTAATATATACTGTCGATACAGTACATGAACCAATCACAACATAGAGCTTGCAAAATGTTTTGAAAAATCAATTCAAGCTCTGTATCATGTATTTGTAGTCTTACTTTGACTCCCGTCTAGTCGCTTTGGGCAATTTATAAAAAAAAAGATCAATGCTATATTGACAGTCAAACGAATGATGCACCGTTTATTTGATTGGATGACCATACCTTTGATTTTGCTTTACTCACTCTTTCAGGTCTCCGAAGTGGAAACTACAAGGGAGGTCACGGGAGTGTTCGCCCTGGCATCGCCTTCAGAGGTCACGTGTACCAACCAACTGAGATGGCTCTTGTTATGAATGGCGGTACAGTAAGTGTGCCTTTCAAAATGTGTCACTCTTCAACAACTACACAATGAATCCAGCTGACTCACTTGTTTTTGACCATCGTATAGATGCCCACCGCCCCGATTAACTACACTGGAAGACGACTGTGGTAATGCAGTAATGGGTCATAATGTATGGTCCTGAATTTCCTGATGCCTGACAAGGAGTAATAATTTAAAAAGACATAACATATCATACAGGGTGGACTGACAACAGCTCAATACATTTAATGTTTGTGCATACATGTTGGAATTCTTCATTTTGAGAGTTTGTTTCAGTTTTTTCAAAACGAAAGGATTGGAAATGACAGCGATGGTACAGTTGAGGACATTTTTCAGGTATAAATACCATTTACAGTGCTTTGATATTATCAAGGCGCAGATGTCTGTATGAATATGTAAATAAGCTAACAGGATGTGTTTGAAGTGGGCTAATAATGCCTGGGGTGGAAGATTATTTAAACCTTCAGGATATGAATTCACAGCACATCCGTACAAAAGATTTTTCTCGCCATTTGGCTCTTCCATTAAGAGTGTTACAGGACGTTATCTGAGCCACATTGTAGAGAATTGGTCCATTCTGCCTGAAATCTTGCATCATGTGCACATGAATGTAATGGAAAGCCCATGGGCAACCTAAAAAGCCATTTACCAATGCACTCAAAAGTGAAATCATTAGGTACACTTTTTACCTGCTTCATCTAGTAAGGACCAGAACAAGAGCGGAGACTTTATTCTACAGTGAAGTAGTTAAATACAGTACCGAAATGATTATAAACACAGTTCAGTATGATGCAATTTAGCTTTACAGTAAAATAACATAAATATGCATATTGTAAAACAAATACTTCTCTGACAGTGTTATTCAAAACGGAATATTATTTGCAAAGGCAGAATTAATGTTAAGCTCTTGCGATTGGATCTCATTAGATTGGTGATTCCCACAAGTCATGGCACCCGAGTGAACGGTGAGAGGTCAGCAACTATCCAAGTTTACTTCATTTGGCTGAAATTGATTAGTCACTAATTATAAAAAGATTAGGGCACGTCCAGTATGGATTTTTTTTTTTTTTTAGGCTAATGCTGATTCCAATTGTTGCGGGAAAAGACTCAGATGGTCCATTGTTTGGCCAATTAATTAAAAAAAACTACCCCCCCAAAAAAGTACTGTGTGTGTGTGTGTGTGTGTGTGTGTGTGTGTGTGTGTATATATATATATATATATATATAT